ACCGCCTCCGGGACTCGAGCGGCGCATTCTGCCTTCAACATCCCCAACAGCAGCGGCCTCTATGGCTCCCAGGACTCGGTCAGCAGCACTCCCGAGGAAGGGGGGCGGGAACGAGCTGCGGCGGGTGGCGGCGCAGGAGGACCCGGCGGGAGCAGCGGAGGACCCCGGCTGGTTATCGGTTCGTTGCCCGCGCACCTTTCGCCTCATCTTTTCGGAGGTAAATATTCCCGCCCGGCCATAGTGAAAGGGGCCTGTGGGAGTGGGGAACTAAAGTTCTTGGTGGGAGAGAGTAGTGTTTGGGGCTCCCTGAAAATGTCGGGAGAAGGAAAAGGGGAAAATGTTTATTGTTAAATCTCCAAATGTTGGGTGGGTGAAATCTGTATCCCCGATGAACAGATTTAGGACGACGGCCAGACTCTTCATGGTTTTGATCTTAGGACTGCCAGTCTCCTCCAGGTGGAAGAGCGATATTCCACGTGACAGATAACAGCAAAGTTTCCATTGTAGAAAGTAGAGCTGCGAGTACTATTGGCTACAGCCTCGCTGTTTAACAAGGTTAAGCTACACTATGTTCAGAGGGTTGAGCCTCCCGTTAAGTACTGTACAGCTGGGTAGGTTTGTAGTCTGCATATCTATTCAAAGTAAGATTGTAGTCATTACTCCCAAACAAGTCCAACGGAGCACAACACTTTTTAAGTGCCCAGGCTTGGAGTTACATTATTAAAGTTGGTAGCTTTATACATGTACTTTAGAGCTGCTGTTCTCTTGCTCTCATAGATTACCATTGTATATGCTACAGTAGATCACTTCCTGTGTGCTTTTTTCACTGTGATACTGTGATACCTGACAGAAACCAATGACACCACTGGGATGTAATGATCAACAAGTGCTTTTGTACTGAGGAATCCTACTTATTACTAGAATTTTTTCCCCCTTAAAGTGGCAAAGCCTTGGGTGGATTTTAATTGCTAATATCATGTAAGGAATATTGAACCATTTTTGCAGGGTAGGACACTTCTTTATCAAAATCACACTGGACACAATATTACAATGATGATAGATGTTGGTTTGTCTATACTTTTTATTTGGTTCTTCTGGAAACAATTACTAAGAATGTTCCAGATTGAGCGGATTTGAATTAGTTTCTTTCTTAACTTTTGCTTTAAAAAAGGACAGTCTATAACCTCTCTTGCCTGATACTTATATAATTAGGATTTAACTGAATAATATTCTTTCTGTCTATGCATGTATTTTAAATCTGACCAAAGACTCTGTTTAAGTATTGGCTTAGAAAAGAGAAGAAATTTGTTCTTAGCTTAGGTTAATGAATTGTTCATTCTGAAAATGTTCTGTAATGTAAGAGTTGCATTAACTTTATTAATGTGAAACAAAAATTTAATAAGCAAAAGCATTCAGATGGGATAAGAACAACCGTAGTAGCAGACTTTATATAAAGTATAGAGAATTGAAAATGGGGTGAATAGTCAAGGATGGAAACTTATTTGTGCAGTCTTGCAGCCAGTATAGTTCAGTAGAATCCACTAAGTGTACATAGAATTTCAGCCTTAGTACAACACTGGCTTTTAAAATGCAATAGAACTTGTAACATTGGTTTTGAATTCTTATGGAAATAGACTGAATTTTGTACTAGCTTTGTTTTATAATAGTTTTAGCTTTTCTAGTGGTCTCCATTGCTTTTAGTAGTGATTGCATATGCAAGATCTTTGGCTGAGCTGAGTACTGTATTCTATGAGATGTCTGTATGATTAGGCTGCACTCTAGGAAGAGGATGGTGTGAGATGTTTGCTTGCTTTTTTCTGGCAAGGTGATACGGTGAAATGAATAAAATCTTCCTGTGGAAGTTTTGGGAAGAATACTTGTTTGAGTCAGCACTGGAACTGTGTTTCAGAAAATATCTTGAATCCTCTTAAATCTCAGCATATTGCTGTTACCAGCTCAGTATGCCTCTTAAGTTTTTAAAAATAAAATAACCAGCACAGTGATTGGTCATTATTAATATGTTAGTATTGTGCAGTGTCTGGCCTGGAAATCTTATTACATACCTTTTCTACTATGTGTTCCCTAATGGTTGAGTTTACATATTGTATTAAGCAGTAAAGTAGCTTACTTGATTTAGTATGGTGTGCAAATTTGAGTTGTAAATAATTATTTATTGCTTGTGTGAATTAAACCAACTGTGAATTAACTATGGTTAAATCATGCCTTTGAGTAATGTATGAACCTAGCCACTGTGTTCAAGTGTTGTTTATTAGAAGGAAAGCCTCCTAAAGGTTGGCTGTTTCAATAACTATTGTATTGGTGCCTATAGTCTCTCTAGAAGCAAATAAGTGAACAAAATGTTGGATTTTAAGCTGTGTTACCTTCTTTTTATACATTTAAATTTATACATGAGTGTCTGCATTTATTATATATATCTACCTTGAATTAAAATAGATGCACTAGTCTCAAAAAAATGTTTTAAAAAATACAGTGGGAGCTCAAAATTACAAATTATAAAAAACAAATTATACATTACATATAAGCCAAATGGTGCGTGGGAATTCTCATTATGTGCAAGTCTCTCATCCCATCTATAGTAATGAAAATTAATAAAATGTTTTTGTTCTGAGCAATCTGTTAATTTTATATGGAGATTATACTAACTCTATACCATCTTTTTCCATCTACATCTAAATAGTTCATAAGGGCCTGTTACAAAACAGTAATTTTCAAAATGCCATCAGCTTTGTATAGTAGAAAAGCACTTTTCTGGTTTGTTGCTATTACATTTTTCAGTCAGTTTGATAACATTGCAACTCACTGGATGACTTTGGCCCAATCATTCACCACTTTTGGAAGAGACCCTGATATATGCAACCTTGAGCTCTCAGAAAAAAGTATTTACAACTCAAAAGTTAAGGTTTTTTTATTTAGGATGTAAATATCATATGTTATTAATAAAACAGTGCCCCAATATGTGCAAACAGCATTTTAGATGTAATTACAACAGTTTCTTAGAGTGCTTGCTGATACATGATCTTGAAGCAATTCATGAGCTACTAAAGTTCACCTTTGTAATGAGTGGAGGGCTGCTTTTAACTAGCTCAAGCTTGTCTAGATGTGGCTTCTTCTCTAGCAGTTCCTTGTATACAGTGGTACCTCGGGTTACGAACTTAATCCGTTCCGTGACTCTGGTCGCAACTCGAGTTGGTCGCATCCCGAGGCAAATTTCCCCATAAGGTTCAATGTAAATACGGTTAATCCGTTC